GCATTGAAAATGGAACGTAAGGGCAATATCTTTTCTGAAAATCTACTACATCTTTAGATTGTTCCATTCTGGTTAATTAGTTTTGAATAACATCAGGTAACCTCAATCTCTAAACTTGTCTGCCACCTAACATAACTGTGTTTCACATAAATGCTCATTGCTGACAATCCTTTTTACCCTGAACAATTGACTTCTCACAATAGATTTGAAAACATGGAGAGGATGGAAGATGTCAAATGAAAGAAGTTTATTTCTATCAGTTGACTTAAAATAACATATTGAATAGCATTATTTCTATGTAAATCAAAGTGTCCAAAAAGTAAACTTTACAACCACCCATACACATGTTAAATCTGATATTCTGACTGAATCCAATAATCCTTCCATTGAAGAGTTGGAAGGTTCCAACATTACCCCAATATATGGCAAAAATATTGTCAATATAGTGCCACCATTTGAGCATTCAGTGTCAAACAACTCATCCACATAGATGAACTTGGTCTCAAAATCATGCAGCCCATGTATTTCCCATGTCAGATATCTATAATAAATAAACCTATCCACATGCACGCATCTGAGTTACATTTAAACTCTTTAGAGTGTCAGAATAGATTATAGATTTATCCCCCAAAATGTTTCCACTACTTGACCAAACCATTACAAAAAATGATTTTAGCATCTGGAGCAGATATTTAGCGAATCTATAATGCCCATCATCAAAGCATGAATTGCAGGCACTCAACCACAAAACACACATGAGTCATTCATGACACAAAAAGATGATGGTTGCAGCAATCATTGTCTGTTGGTTCATGCTATAAGAATGAGCGAGAACAGAAAATAAGGCAATGTTCCATCAGGACATTAATCCTCCTGTAGCCACGTTGAACTGCAGCCCATTGCTGAGAGACTAAAAAATTAAATGGCTAATAAAACTAGGAAATGGGGTTAGGCTTGAGATGTCAATGTGTCTTGTGTGTTCTTTATTTTTTTTAGTACAATGTGTGGGGCATTAGGAAACAAAGGAGTTATCACCTGCAGTAATTAGGTTATATAAGTTATATAGACTCTTGCTGCTGATGGAGATGCTATAGAGGTGCTAGCAGAATTTTTGGAGTGCTATAGCATACTTAAGCACCCCCCCCCCCCCAATGCTGCCACTGAGGACAGGACAATGTTGGACTCTACATATTATTTTGGGGTTTATACACCATTGTTTGAATATGCTTCTTTTCTCCATCAGGGGATTCAAAATCAATTTGAAGCAGCTCAATGCGAGTCAGAAGCAACTCTGTGAGCAACTGAAATGCAAATCATAGCAGCTCAAATGTATGCAAAAGCATCTGAGAAGCACATGCATGCCTACTACATTAAACTTGCTACTGATTCTGAAACCCATCTAGAAAAGCCCCACATAGTTTTTTTAATTTATTGTAGTTATACACCAAGCAGTCATAACATTAAGATCGCTGACAAGTTAAATGAATAACTTTGATTATTTCATTACAATATTATCTAAAAGTTGGTGAGATAGTTTAGGCAACAAGTAAACAAGTTGTCATTGAAGTTGATGTACTGAAAGAAAAAAAATGGGCATCGCAGTTTGTTGTGTATGTGTTTGCAAAGTCGCAGACTGGTCAGGATGTCCATGCATTTCCACAGCCAAAAGTGCCTACAATGGGCATGTGAACATCATAACTGGACAACTGAGCAATGGAAGAAGGTGGCCTTGCTCGATGAATTATGTTTTTTATTACATCATGTGGATGGCTGGGTGCATGTGTTGTGTTTACCTGGGGAGAGGATGTCACCAGGGTGCAGTATGGGAAGAGGCCAAGCCAGCTGAGGCACTGTGATGCTTTGGGCAATGTTCCTTTGGTCCTGCCATTCAGGTAGATGTTATTTTGGTAGATACCACCTTCCTAAACATTGTTGCTGACCTTCATGGAAACAATATTCTCTGATGGCAGTGGCCTCTTTTAGCAGGATAATGCTCCCTGCCACACTGCAAAATTGGTTCAAGAATAATTCAAGGAACACAGCAACAAGTTTGAGGTGTTGACTTTGCCACCAGATTCTCCAGATCTCACTCCATCAAGCATCTGTGCGATGTGCTGGAAAAAGAAGTCCAATCCATGGAGGCTCCACCTTAAAACTTATAGTACTTAAAGGATCTGCTACTGATGATGAAGTGCCAGATACGCCAGCATATCTTCAGAGGTCTAGTGGTATCCATACTGTGATGGGTCAAAGCTGTTTAGGTGGCAGAAGAAGGACCTACTCAATATTAGGAGGGCCATCATAATGTTATGGCTGATCTGTGTACAGTTTGCTCATTGTTTATTTGGAGTGTTAAACAATAAATTATGTAAAGAAAAAAAAAAAACCTTTTATCAGTTCCATTTGTTCGGCAGAAGGGCACAAAAGCACTTTTCTGGCTACTAAAGGTTATAACATACCTAATCTACATCTTATGTTGTCTGCTCTTAGACAGTATTTTAATTTCAAATGTTTAAAATGCAGTACAGGTCCACTTTACCCTCGCCTATGTATACTATCACATCTTTTTACATATACATTTTAAATCCTGTTTGTATGTGCCCGGATATCTTATGATTGAAAAAGCTCATAACAATATTTTCACCAGTGGCAAATGAAGCAGTTTTTTGTTTCCCTTGTATATACTTGATGTGAATGCAAAAGAAATATCAGATGCCAAGCCTCATTTTTCACTTTCAATAGATGTTTTCCTTTTGCGGTAATCATTTTTAGATGGTTTAAAGGTGAAACGATTGCTCAGGAATTTTGCTTTTTCACTGCGTTCTATAATACATCTGTTGTGAAGTTTTCTAATCAGGTTATAATGTGTTTTCTGGAAACTCGTAATAGAAGATGTTCTAGCAGTGGAATATTCTTTCACTGCTGAGCCATGCCTTCAGCTCATTATAGCAATGCAATGCTGTGGAACCTGGTGTGTTTGTTGTACCGAAGCATCATATTTCTCTCCAGAAGTCTGCAGTAACATTTAGCCTATGTACAGAATAGCTAAACATTTTGCCCTTTGAATATATGTTGTAGTTTAGCACAGTTAATCCAAAAAAAAAAAAAAAAATACAGCCAAGAACGGAACTACAATTAAAATCTACTAAATAAATGCATGCACTCATTTTCCCGTAAAAATGAGGCATGAATAACATCATATTTCTTGCTCTAATGCATTTATTCAATAAGCCTGTGTAAGTCCATTTATCATCCTGCTTGTGAACACCATTACAATGGAATGCTCGATATTTGTGCATAACAATTCATTTCATCAGGAACAAAAAAAATGAGACAGTCTTTATTGCAGGAATACTCATCTTTTCAGCACTTCATTTGTAGGTGTAGTTCATTTATAGAGGTGAATTAGTTCAAGGTTAACATATAGATAAAATGAATGTGTTGACATTTCATCAAAAATGTTATTGAAGTTTAGTTTTTTTATGAATAATATGAATATGAACAAAATTAAGTATGATTTGTTTAAAGAAACATTTCAGTCTCAGTAGGAAATATTGACAGGTATATTAACTGCTTCCCGCCTGCCCTATAGCAGAACTACTGCTACAGGGCAGCACGGCTGTACAAAATCATGCGCAAATACAAAATTTATACTTGAATTTCCATTGGCGGCTTCAGCTGTTGATCACTGGGTCCTTGCCGGAGATTCCCCTCTGGCACCTGACGAGTATCACTGACGGGGGGGAGTATTGTAAACAATACTGATATCTCCCCTGTCAACTCCAGCATGCTACTTTGTATTGCTCTACATAGCAGAGCAATCCAAAACAACATACCTTCCTAGTAAAACACACAACACAGAACATGGTAAAACACAGACAGCACACAGTTAACCCTTTGATACCCAGATGTTTACCCCTTCCTGCCCAGTGTCATTCGTACAGTGTCAGTGCTTTTTATTGGCACTGATCACTGTATTAGTGTCACTGGGGATGTAAGTGACAGTTAGTCAGTTCCCCCCAGTGTCAGAATGCCCGCTGCATTCCTGCAGTCCCACAGTCCCGTTATATGTCGCTGATCGATGCCAGTACTAGTATAAAAAAAATTCCAATATATATACCACCATTTGTAGATGCTATAACTTTCACGTAAACCAATTAATTTACACGTATTGGGATTTTTTTTATAGCAAAGTCATGTAGCAGAATACATTTTGGCCTAAATCTATGATGAAATTTGAATTTTTTAATTTTTTTTACTGGATATGTTTTATAGCAAAAAGTCAATAATATTTTTTTTTTTAAATTGCTGGTCTTCTTTTGTTTATAGCGCAAAAAAAATGCAGAGGCCATCAAATACCACCGAAAGAAAGCTATTTTTTGGAAAAAAGACATACATTTCATTTGGGTGCAGGGTTGCATGACAGCGCAATTGTCAGTTAACCGCCTCCCACCTGCCATATAAGGAAATGATGGGTGCAAGGAGGTTCTCTTGTTCTGGGAGGACATCATATGATGTCCTCCTACTCTAACCGCACGTGCGCGGACCCGAGGGCATGCAGCGCGGCGATCGGAGCTACGCTGTGTTCTTCGGACACAGTGGATTACCGATCAACGGAAAAAGAGCAGAAGGCTTCGGCTCGGTCATGTGATCAGCTGTGTCCAATCACAGCTGATCGCATGTAAATAGGGAAATGCCGGTTATCAGCATTTCTCTCCTCACGAGCTGTCATGCTGACAGCTCGTGAGGAGAGCCAATAATCGACATTCCTCAGAGGGGACATGTACACTGATCAGGGCATGGATGATCAGTGTGCCCTGATGATCAGTGTAGCCCCAGCAGTGCCACCTGTCAGTGTCCATCAATGCCAGCTGTCAGTGCTCATCAATGCCACCTGTCATTGTCCATCAGTGCCACATCAATGCCATATATCAGTGCCTACCAGTGCACATAAATGCCACATATCAGTGCAAATCTGAGCTTTCAGTGTCACCTATCAGTGCCAGTCAATGCCACCTATCAATGCCAGTCAGCGCCACCTATCAGTGCTGCCAATCAGTGCCACATATCAGTGCCAGTCAGTGCTGCCTATCAATGCCAGCCAGTGCCACCTATCAGTGTGCATCAGTGTCGCCTATCAGTGCCCATCAGTGCTGCCTATCAGTGCCACCTAACAGTGCCAGTCAAACGTCCGGTTCCGGCGCCTCATGCATTAGGAGCGGGACCCGTGGCTCTGGACACACCAGCCTAGAAATCCGGTCCCTGCACACAATGCACTAACTATTCCTGCCCCCGATCCTCCCTGTATGGACCGGTACTTGCTGCCGGCTCCTCCCGGCTCTGGTCCCGCTGCATGGCCCCAGGGGAACACTTCCCCCCTCCTGCAGCCAAGGTGGCCACCAAAAAAATCATTAACAGCAGCAGCATGAGTAACAGCATGGACACAGACACAGAAGCAGGTATGGCAGAATCACAGCCACTCACCACAACCTCACTGGGACATGCTGACACTCTTAGTCCCACAGACCAGTACGCCAAAATTGCACAGGCTGTCGCTTCTCTATTACAACCTACTATTACTCAGGCAGTGGACAGAGCAGTAACGCAGGGCATTGAGCAACGTAGAAGGGACTTGGAAGACAATGCCAAACGTATATATGAAGCTGAACAACGCCTCTCTGACCTAGAGGATGAGTTTCAAGCTATGCAGGTGGGCACTTTACACTCCAAATGCATGCAGCAAAACATTCTGGATAAACTAGACGACTTAGAGAACCTTCGCGCAGGAACAACCTGTGCGTCGTAGGCCTCCCAGAATCCTACAACGCAGGCTCATTTCCCAACATATGTTCTACGTGCATTCCCGCTGCGCTGGGCATCTCAACACCTTGCCTGGTTAGAAGAGCACACTGCCTAGGGGCGCCTTCAAGTGATAGATGCACACCGCGCTCTATAATCGTCTAATATCTTAACTACGCTGACCGTGTGGCTATACTAAACTAATTTCGCAATTCATGCTCCCTACAACTAGACGGAGATAAAGTATTACTGTTTGCCGACTATTCTCAGAAAGTCTCCCATAAACGAAAAGTGTTTCAGCAAATATGCACTGCACTGTACCAAAAAGGGGTCAAATTCACCCTTGCATACCCTGCTACACTGCGCTTTATGACTCCTACAGGGGAATCTAAATCTTTTGCGCACCCAGAGGAAGCCCTTCTATACCTGCAAGCCAATTTATCTGACATCATGAGCCCTCAAAATCCTCATCATACACCCCAAGTCCCTGGCCCGAGAGACCAACGCAGTCCGCGAAAAGACCCACCAAAGAGGCAACACGTCAACTTCACTTTGGCAAAACAAAGACCACAGATGACAGATGATGCTCACCCCACTTGAGTACCTTTCTAATGGTATTTACTGCCCTGTGCTATTGTATTTCATTGTTATTAATCTGCTGTTATGGCCATAAAGTTATCAGGCTATTTAGGGCCTCTGGCTCTTTTTTCAGAATATTTGCATGCCATGTTCCAATACTATGTTTTGACCACCGTGCTGCTGCCAATACTAGGGACTGCTGACTCCTTCCTCCTTGGTGGTCCACGATGCTATCGGGGTTCCCGCTATTCCTTGCCCCTGGCTATGCAACCCCTCAGTGCAGGTTCCACACCCTATAATTTCCAGTTACGCTGGTCAAAGATTGGAGGTAACATGCAGAATAATGTGAAGCTCAAACTGCCTTTAAGTTTATTGTTATTTATATTTACTCTATGGACCCCTAATGGGTCACCCCTATATCTGTATCTTCTCCTCCATTCCCCTTTTCTTTATTCTCTCTCCTCCTTTTACCCAGAGACCCCCCAACACCCCAGCCCCCCACAATACACCAAGAGAGCCTGGATAATGGTGCTGAGTTCACCAAGCCATTACCGCATAGGGATGTTGAAATCCCCCCATATAGTAATTCATCCCCCATAGTATGTTTTTCAATCCTCTCCAATCACCCTCATACTCACCTTATCATGACATGCATAGTTTCATGCAATGTTAAGGGCCTGGAATCGCCTCATAAACATATAGCCATCCTCCGCCATCTCAAGTGCCTGAAAGCAGACATTGTGTTTCTTCAAGAAACACACTTAACTCAATAAGACTTTGCGCGCATGAAAAAAGTATGGGTTAGTCAGGTGCTAGGCTAGCTACAGACGATGAGGGGCGTTATGTTGCTGTGCACATAAAAACTAAACTCCTCTTCCCCGGCCCTGGTCAACATATATGCCCCAAACTCCCCGCCCAAGCAATTCTTCCAAGAACTGTCCTCTAAAATCTCGAACTATATGCACCTCCCACTTTTCTTGGGAGGAGATTTCAACTCGTGTATACAGGAGGACAAATCAAAATCGTTTAACCTAACTCAATTACCTCCCTCCCCCCACCCCCCCATCACACTTGTTACTGAGCAACTTTGTAGAGGCCCTACAACTCATGGACGTCTGGAGCGCGGAGCAAAGGTAAGTGAATTGACACAGGGGGGGCTTGGGGACTTAATATGGGGGATGAATTAATATGGGGGATGAATTACTATGGGGGATGAATTACTATGGGGGGTGAATTACTATATGGGGGATGAATTTACTATGGGGGATGAATTACTATGGGGGATGAATTACTATAGGGGGGATGAATTACTATGGGGGATGAATTACTATATGGGGGATGAATTACTATGGGGGATGAATTACTATATGGGGATTAATTACTATAGGGGGATGAATTACTATGGGGGAATGAATTACTATATGGGAGATGAATTACTTTAGGGGGGATGAATTACTATATGGGGGGTGAATTACTATGGGGGATGAATTACTATGGGGGATGAATTACTATATGGGGGATGAATTACTATGGGGGATTAAATACTATATGGGGGATGAATTACTATGGGGGATGAATTACTATATGGGGGATGAATTACTATGGGGGATGAATTACTATATGGGGGATTAATTACTATGGGGGATGAATTACTATATGGGGGATGAATTACTATGGGGGATGAATTACTATGGGGGATGAATTACTATATGGGGGATGAATTACTATGGGGGATGAATTACTATATGGGGGATTAATTACTATGCTTACTATGGGGGAATATTACTATACTTACTATGGATGACACATACACATCATTCATCTACTCTTGGTCCGGCCCCCGGGTCCAATATATGAACCCATTGCGGCCCTCAAGTCAAAAAGTTTTTCAATAAATTTTTTTAACATTTTCTAATGGTGGTGTGCCTCGTGATTTTTTTCATGAAAAAAGTGTGCCTTTGCACAAAAAAGGTTGAAAAACACTGCTATAGACATCACTCGGGCCACCTCCTTTCTGGACCACATCTCACTACCGCATTTAGACAACCGCGCTCCAATCCCTGAATGCCCCAATATCTCAACCAGACATCTTACAAGCCATCAAATCCCTTACGAACAGTAAAGCCCCCGGGCCTGATGGCTATATAGCCGAATTCTACAAACTCATGGCCGAAACCCTTTCCCCTACCTTACAGTCAATGTTCCACTCAATCCAGGGGGGAGGGGACTACCTCCCCTCTGGACTTCAAGCCCACATTAAATTGATAGCCAAAAAAGATAAAGTTCCGACAGACCCTGGATCATATCGGTCAATATTCCTCCTGAACTTAGAGGCAAAACTACTATCGTCGCCTCTCGCTTAGCCGCTATATTACCCACTCTCATCTATCCTTCGCAAGCGGGTTTCGTGCAGGGTCGCTCAGCTGCTTCAAATATTCAGAAGGTGATATTGGTCCTGAATCAAGCCGCGAATGGCTCACCCCTAGATGCAGCAATCGTTTCACTAGATGCTGAAAAGGCTTTCGACAATGTCAATTTCGACTGGCTCTTCTAAACACTACGGAAATTTGGATTTGAGGGCCCTTTCATGCACCTGATCCGAGCCATGTACTCATCACCAATAGCCCATGTCTTAGCGGCAGGTCACATATCCAACCCCATTCGACTTCACAAGGGCACCAGACAGGGATGCCCTTTATCCCCTTTACTCTTCAACCTGGCCCTGGAACCCTTAGCACGCTTTTTACTGTTCCACTCTGACCTTCATGGAATCACAATTGGTCAACAAGAAATGTGAATTGCTTTATTCGCGGATGATATATTAATTTTTATATTGAACCCATCTGATCTGCCATGCATTCAAGACATCTTTTCAGCCTTCTGTATCAGTGCCGTATCAGTGCTGCCTTTCAGTGCCCATCAGTGATGCCTGTTAATGCCCATTAGTGCCACCTACCAGTGCCTCCTCATCAGTGCCCATCAGTACCACCTATCAATGCCCATCAGTACAGCCTATCAGTGCCCATCACTGAAGCCTCATTAATGTACATCACTTATTTACAAACACACAACAAAAACTAAGAAAAAAACTTTTTTCAAAATTGCAGTTGTTTTTGGTTTGCTTAGCAATAAATAAAAAAACCCAGAGGTGATTAAATACCACCAAAGGAAGCTCTATCTGTTTAAAAAAATGATAAAAATTTCATATGGGTACAGTGTTGCATGAAAGCTGAAAATTGGCCTGGGCAGGAAGGGGGTATAAGTGCCCTGTAGGCAAGTGGTTAAAGTAACACAGAGCCATATCACAAAAAAATGGCCTGGTCAGGAAGGGGGGTAAATCCTCTAGAGGGCAAGTGGTTAATAGTAGAGATGAGCGAATCGAACCTGGCGAAGTGGAATTCGTTTCGAATATCAGGAAAAATTCGATTCGCATCGAATCCGAATTTTAGCAAACTTCGGGTGCACGAATCGAATTTTTCCCGATCAGCCGGCAAAAGTGTCACTGCAGAGAGCTCCGCTATTTCTGACAGTTCTGACAGTTCATTTACAGCGGTTGAAACATTGTATCTATTTGTTTCCATTTAGGATACAGATGTTTTTATTCGGAAATAAATAGATACAATGTTTCAACCGCTGTAAATGTGAAGGAACTGTCAGAGAACTGTCAGAAATAGCGGAGCTCTCTGCAGATACACTTTTTGCTGTACTGGAATTCTTCTTCTTTTCATTCTTCTTCTTCTTTTCATTCTTCTTCTTCTTCTTCTTCTTTTCATTCTTCTTTTCATTCTTCTTCTTCTTCTTTTCATTCTTCTTCTTCTTCTTTTCATTCTTTCTTTTCATTCTTCTTCTTCTTCTTTTCATTTTCTTCTTCTTCTTTCATTCTTCTTTTCATTCTTCTTCTTCTTCTTTTCATTCTTCTTTTTCTTCTTTTCATTCTTCTTTTCATTCTTCTTCATTCTTCTTTTCATTCTTCTTTTCATTCTTCTTCTTCTTCTTTTCATTCTTCTTCTTTTCATTCTTCTTCTTTTCATTCTACTTTTCATTCTTCTTCTTCTTTTCATTCTTCTTCTTCTTCTTTTCATTCTTCTTTTCATTCTTCTTCTTCTTCTTCTTTTCATTCTTCTTCTTCTTCTTTTCATTCTTCTTTTCATTCTTCTCATTCTTCTTTTCATTCTTCTTTTCATTCTTCTTCTTCTTCTTTTCATTCTTCTTTTCATTCTTCTTTTCATTCTTCTTCTCATTCTTCTTTTCATTCTTCTTCTTCTTCTTTTCATTCTTCTTTTCATTCTTCTTCATTCTTCTTTTCTTTCTTCTCATTCTTCTTTTCTTTCTTCTTTCTTCTTCTTTCTTTTCATTCATTCTTCTTCTCATTCTTCTTTTCATTCTTCTCTTTTCATTCTTCTTCTTCTTCTTTTCATTCTTCTTCTTCTTTTCATTCTTCTTCTTCTTCTTTTCATTCTTCTTTTAATTCTGCTTCTTCTTTTCATTCTTCTTCTTCTTTTCATTCTTCTTTTCATTCTTCTTCTTCTTCTTTTCATTCTTCTTCTTCTTCTTTTCATTCTTCTTTTCATTCTTCTTCTTCTTCTTTTCATTCTTCTTCTTCTTCTTTTCATTCTTCTTTTCATTCTTCTTCTTCTTCTTTTCATTCTTCTTCTTTTCATTCTTCTTTTCATTCTTCTTCTTCTTCTTTTCATTCTTCTTCTTCTTCTTTTCATTCTTCTTCTTCTCATTCTTCTTTTCATTCTTCTTTTTTTCATTCTTCTTCTCATTCTTCTTTTCATTCTTCTTCTTCTTCTCATTCTTCTTTTCATTCTCCTTCTTCTTCTTTTCATTCTTCTTCTTCTTCTTTTTTCATTCTTTTTTTCATTCTTCTTCTTCTTCTTTTCATTCTTCTTCTTCTTCTTTTCATTCTTCTTTTCATACTTCTTCTTCTTCTTTTCATTCTTCTTCTTCTTTTCATTCTTCTTTTCATTCTTCTTCTTCTTCTTTTCATTCTTCTTCTTCTTCTTTTCATTCATTCTTCTTCTTCTCTTCTCATTCTTCTTTTCATTCTTCTTTTCATTCTTCTTCTCATTCGTCTTTTCATTCTTCTTCTTCTTCTTCTTCTCATTCTTCTTTTCATTCTCCTTCTTCTTCTTTTCATTCTTCTTCTTCTTCTTTTCATTCTTCTTTTCATTTCTTCTTCTTCTTCTTCTTCTTCTTTGTCGTGCCCCGTGACTGCCCAAATGAGTGAAGTGTGCGGTGATTCTAAGATCGACGGCACTCATCTGCATGTCATACTGACTGACAGTATTATTTCTCTTCCCCAGCAGACTCCAAGGGCATTTAAATTAAAGGTACAGTGTTCTGCACTAATATAAAGGCTCTCTGAAGCCTAGAAAACCCTTTTAATAAGTTAAATTTGCGACAAATAAATTTGCATCGAATCGAATTTCTCCCGCAAATTCGGCGAATCAGCCGAATCAAATTTTTGAATAATTCGCTCATCTCTAGTTAATAGCATGCCATGTGTAAGGTTCATTTTTTCAATTTTTTTTCCTGCATTGAAAAACAAATGGTTTGCTTCTATTATTAGTCATCTTGAGATCATCATATCCAGAGCAACTGTAAGGTATATAGATAAGTTTGTAAGCTTATTGCAAGCTATTGTATCTATTGTTAGATGACTAAGTAACAGCTAGCATGTACTCATTGGTATAAAATAATAGAATAGAACAGAATATAATAGATTACAATAGAATAGAAATATAATAGCTTATATAGCTTATATAATAGCTTATAGAATAGCTTTTGCTCACTACACTCCACTGAAACTGCCCTACTAAAACTCACTAATGATCTACTAACTGCTAAAACTAATGGCCACTACTCCGTACTCTTACCACTTGACCTCTCTGAGGCTTTTGATATGGATGAACATCCCCTCCTCCTCAAAATACTCCACTCTCTTGGCCTCCGAGACTCTCCTCTCTCCTGGTTCTCCTCCTACCTATCGCAGCGCTCCTTCAGCGCTACCTATAACTCTGGCTCCTCCTCTTCACTCCCTCTTTCTGTAGGGGTCCCTCAAGGTTCTGTCCTTGGACCCCTTCTCTTCTCCATCTACACCTCCTCCCTTGGTCACTTGATAAACTCCCATGGCTTTAAGTACCATCTCTTTAACTACCAGCTGATGACACACAAATCTATCTTTCCACCCCTCACCCCTTCAGTCTCCTCTCGCATTACTAACCTACTAAGTGACATATCGCTATGAATGTCACTCCCACTTTCTCAAACTCAATCTTTCCAAAACTGATCTCCTAGTGTTCCCTCCAGCCCGTGCCTCCTCCCCTGACTTCTCCATCAAGATCAATAACACAACCATCAGTTCCTCCCCTGATGCCAGGGTGCTAGGTGTTATCCTAGACTCCCATCTGTCCTTTCACCCCCAAATCCAATCACTGTCCAAATCTTGTAGACTTCACCTACGCAACATTTCCAAGATACGCCCGTTCTTAACCTCGGAAACTACTAAGCAACTTTTCACTCCCTTGTTATCTCTCGCCTTGACTATTGTAACTCCCTCCTCATTGGCCTACCTCAACGCAGGCTATCCCCTCTTCAGTCTATCATGAATGCTGCTGCCAGACTCATCCACTTTACTAACCATTCTGTATTAGCCACCCTTCTCTGCCCATCCCTCCACTGGCTTCCCATTGCCCAACGAATAAAATTCAAAGCATTAACAATAACATATAAAGACATTTATAACTCTGCCCCAAATTACATCACTAATCTTGTCTCCAAATATCATCCAAACCGTACTCTCCGCTCCTCGTACGACCTCCTACACTCTAGCTCCCTCATCTCCTCCTCCCATGCTCGTCTCCAGGACTTCTCCAGAGCTTCTCCCATCCTCTGGAACTCTACCCCAATTTATCAGACTGTCGCCAACTCTGCTCACTTTTAGGGGATCTATGAAAACCTATCTCTTCAGGGAAGCCTATCCTGCCCTCGGCTAAATATGGAATCTTCTACACTTCCTGCCAGTCCATCCCCCACAGTTACTACCTTTTGTACCACTAGCCCCTCCCTCCTAGATTGTAAGCTCCAAGGAGCAGGGCCCTCCTATCCCTTTTGTATTGAACTGTATTGTTGCTGTATTGTCTCCCTTTATATTGTAAAGCGTTGAGCAAACTGTTGGAGCAATATAAATCCTGTATCATCATAATAATAATAATAAAAAAAAAAATCTAGCCATCTCCTGAAAGTTGAATCGTTCAGATAACTGCTGAGTCTAAATATACATAATGAATCGAAATATACAAAATTAATTTAGAAAACGAATCATTCTAACATAACGAATAAGAGGTAACAAAATTATTAACTTAACAAATGAATTGTTGTACACATCCCTGCTTTTACGGCAAAGCACAACTGGCAAACAGAAAATACTCAGTAGATGTTCTCATTTTGGATAGGTCAATGGCGTGCAATACACTCTACACTAAAGGTGGTTTGTGGCAGTTAAATCTTGCATCAGTCAGCCCATGCCCAGAGGCCTCATAGCAATTAAATCAGTTGCTACTGCAGTTGCAATTTATACATATTCTAATAAGCCTGAGAAGAACAATTTGCATTTATCTATATCCTGCTGGAAATATGCCTTTTAAACATCAATTTTAATAGAAAAAAAAAGCATTTCCAGATAATTAGCTCTAAATGTAATGTGCTATTTTAGTGAAAATTATGGTTGACCGCTATTCAGTGAAATAAACAACAAATAGATTAGCATAGGGAATAGTTTTAACTATATCTGCAAGGTCTAGTTGCTGTCCAGAAATGGAATAGATTGCTCATTTATTTTAGTTCTAAAAAATTTCAGCATTCAAATCAAATTGATTTGGGTACCCCTAGGATGATTTACTAAAGGTGCTGACAATCTTTACAAAAGATGTGAATTTTCACTTTAGTTATCCAGTTATATGAAAAGCAAATCCCCGTTTACTTATTTCACCTGTGCACAATTGAGTAACTAAAGTGAATAGAATATTTATAATATT